GAAAGTTGGTTAAACATTTAAAAATTAATTTTTATAGCGGTCAGATACCTGTGTGAAAATGTTTAAAACCCTCTGATCTCAAAATGGCAGACCACGGAAAAGTTTAGGAATGTGTCTGAAACACTTGAAATACTTTTGAAACTCTCAGCTCTCAAAATGAGACCAGAGAAATGTTTAGGAATGTGATTGAAACACTAAGAATCCATATTAAGAGAGCATTAATACCTGTAGGGCAGTGTTTAATCACAGAGAATGTGTTCAAAGTGCTGTGTACTGAGTAGTATAGTGTTTACATTTTATGTCAATGAGTTGGTGTTTTAGCAAGAAAGTTGTTTAAATACTTAAGAATTCATGTTCATAGATGTCAGATACCTGTATGAAAATGCTTAAAACTTTCAGGTCTCAAAATGAAAAGACCAGAGAAATGTTTAGAACTGTGGTAATACTAGAACACATGGTTGTAGAACCTTAATATTTATCTGACAGTGTGTAATCATTGGGGAATCATGTTCAAAGAGCTGAGAACTGACTTGGATACTGGTTATATTTATAATTCTGTGTCAATGAGTTGGCATTTTAGAAAGAAAGTTGGTTAAACATTCAAAAACTCATTTTCATAAGGGTCTGATACCTGTGTGAAAATGTTTAAAACACTCAGATCTCAAAATGACAGACCAAGGAAATGGTTAAAAATGTGCTTGAAACACTAGGAATACATATTCATAGAAACTTAATTTCTTTAGGGAAGTATTTAATCCCTGGAAAATCATGTTCAAAGAGCTGAGAAAAGAGTTGGATACTGGTTACATTTTTTTTTAATATATTTTATTGATTTTTTACAGAGAGGAAGGGAGAGAGACAGAGAGCTAGAAATGTCGATGAGAAACATCGACCAGCTGCCTCCTGCACACCCCCCACCAGGGATGTGCCTGCAACCAATGTACATGCCCTTGACTGGAATCAAACCCAGGACCTTTCAGTCAGCAGGCCGACACTCTATCCACTGAGCCAAACCGGCTTCGGCGGATACTGGTTACATTTATAATTCAGTCTCAATTAATTGGCATTTTGGGAGGAAAGTTGGTTAAAATCGCAGAATTCATGTTAATGGAGCTCATTTAATTGTATGAAAAAAATTTTTTTAATATATTTTATTGCTTTTTTACGGAGAGGAAGAGAGAAGGATAGAGTTAGAAACATCGATGAGAGAGAAACATCGATCAGCTGCCTCTTGCACACCCCCCACTGGGGATGTGCCTGCAACCAAGGTACATGCATTTGACCGGAATTGAACCCGGGACCTTTCGGTTCACAGGCCAACGCTCTATCCACTGAGCCCAACCGGCTTCGGCTAATTGTTTGAAAATTTGAGAAACCAAGATGGTGGCATAGGTAAACACCTAAACTGCTATCTCACACAACAATTTCAAAGTTACAACTAAAAGACAAAATGGACATCATCCAGAACCACAGGAAGGCTGGCAGAGTGGAAATCCTACAACTAGAAGGAAAGAAAAAAGCACACTGCAACTCACAGAAGCTGAGTTGTAGGAAGGCAGAGGTATGGAGGCACAGGCACGAGCGAGGGACCTGGCAACTGAGTACACAACTGGCTTTCTCAACTGGGAGGGAGACCAAAGCTCCTGACTGCTCTTAACTCCAGTTCCAGGTGAGACTCTGGGGACCCAGACTCATATGGGGAGAAATTGAATTGTCTGGCAGTGGCGAAACTTGAGGACGGCTTTCTCTAAGAGGTGCTTGCAGTGATTACCTTGGGACACTTAGAACCAGGAGCCTCTTAGAGCAGGGCTGACAGGAAGCCATCACTGTTTGCTGCCTTGAGATCCCGCCCCAGGAAGCCATTGCTGATTGCTCCACCCTTGAGACTCAGCCCCATCCAAGCTGAATGCAGAGGCTTTTGCATATGAATGACCTGGTCCTTTGTATTTTAAACTTACCTAACAAACTGCAATTGAGTCAGTGAAACCCAGAATATCCAAAAGAAGGCCCAAGGCTCTACAAATGCTTGCATTGCTTCACAGATGAGCTTCATCTGGGTATCTCCAAAACCCAAACAAAGAAGAGGATTCTCCAGATCTCTCTGAAGCTCCTGCTGGGTGGGCTCAGGCAGAGGCTAAATTAGAACCTCTTTGGAGATCCAAGAGCCAGTATACCCAGGGGTCAGAGTAGGACCATCCAGATTACAACTCCTCAGATCCATAAGGGACATACTCAGGGGCAGACTCAGTGAGCACCAAAGCCCCACTGAAGCAAGTCTTGTCTCATAAGGGTTTTTCCAGCACAGAAGTTCCCCATCGTAGACACAGCTGATCCTCACAGTCACTTGCCCTGGAAGTCAATTCTCCCCAGTGATACCAACAACAATCAAGCACACAACCCACAAAGGGATGCACCAACAGTGTCCACCTCAGGTAACTGGGGAGACTAAGCCACTGGCCCTATAGGACACCTAGCACACAAAGCCACTATATCAACTCAGGGAAGCAGCCAAAATGTGAAGACAAAGAAACAGGTCACAAATGAAAGGAATGGAGAAAAGCAAATGACTGGATATAGAGTTCAAAACCACGATTATAAGGTTTTTCAAGAATTTTCTAGAAAAGGCTGATAAATTTAGTGAGACCCTTGAGGATATGAAAAAGGACCAACTAGAAATTAAACATACAGTGACTAAAATAAAAAATAATTTACAGAGATCCAAGAGCAGACTAGATGATCGTAAGAATCAAGTCAAAGATTTGAAATACAAAGAAGCAAGAAAACACCCAACCAAAGAAGCAAAAAGAAAAAAGAATTCAAAAACATGAAGATAGTGTAAGGAGCCTCTGGGACAACTTCAAGCATACCAACATCAGAATTATGGAGGGTGCCAGAAGAAGAGAGAGAGCAAGACACTGAAAACCTATTTGAAGAAATAATGACTGAAAACTTCCCCCACCTGGTGAAAGAAATAGACTTACAAGTCCAGGAAGCGCACACAACCCCAAACAAAAGCACCATACCAAGACACATCATAATTAAATGCCAAGAGCAAAAGACAAAGAGAGAATATTAAAAGCAGCAAAAGAGCCAAAACCAGTTTGGCTCAGTTGTAGAGCGTCGGTCTGCAGACTGAGGGGTCCCAGATTTGATTCCGGTCAAGGGCATGTACGTTGGTTGCGGGCACATCCCCAGTGGGGGGTGTGCAAGAGGCAGCTGGTCGACGTTTCTCTCTCATCGACATTTCTGGCTCTCTATCTCTCTCTCTTCCTCTCTGTAAAAAAATCAATAAAATATATTAAAAGCAGCAAAAGCTTTTAATATAATATAATATAATAAAAAGAAAAACAGTTAGTTACCTACAAGGGAGCACCCATACAAATGTCAACTGAATTCTCAACAGAAACTATGCAGGCCAGATGGGAGTGACAAGAAATATTCAAAGTGATGAATAGCAAGAATATACAACCAAGATTACTCTACCCAGCAATGCTATCATTCAGTATTTATCGTAAGATCAGATAAAGAGCTTCACAGAGAAGAAAAAGCTAAAGGAGATTATCACCACCAAACCAATATTATATGAAGTGCTGAAAGGTATTCTTTAAGAAGAGGAAATAGGTAAAGATAAAAATTATGAACAACAAATACATACCTATCAAATGAAATTAAAAATCAAGTGAATAAAAAATCTGATAAACAGAATAATTTGGTGAATATAATAAATCAGGAGCATAGAAAGGAAGTGGAATGACAATTCTCAGGGGGAAAGGGATATGGGAGGTACAAGAAGAGACTGGACAAAAATCATATACCTATGAATGAGGACAGTCAGGGGGATAAGGACATGGCATGGGTGGGAACTGGGTGGAGGGGAGTTAAGGGATGGTGGAGAAATGTGGAACAACTGTAACAATCTGAACAATAAAGTTTAATTTAAAAAACAAAGAATCTCTGACCATAATGCTATGAAACTTGAAATCATTCACAAGAAGGAAACTGAAAAACAAAGATATGGAGACTAAATTACATATCACTAAACAATTAATGGCTTAACAATAGATCAAGGAAAAAAATCAAAAGATACCTTGAAACAAATGAAATGAGAACACAACAACCCAAAATCTGTGGGTCATAGAGGAAACAGTCCTAAAAGAGAAATTCATAGCATTACAGGCCAATCTCAAGAAACAAGAAAAAGTGCAAATAAACAATTTAACTTTACACTTAAAGGAACCTGGAGGGAAAAAAATAGCCCAGAGTAGAAGGAAGAAAATAATAAATATCAGAGTAGAAATGAAATAGCAGTAAGATCAATGAAAGCAAGAGCTGGTTCTTTAAAAGATAAACAATATTGCCGAAACCGGTTTGGCTCAGTGGATAGAGTGTCAGCCTGGGGACTGAGAGGTCCCAGGTTCGATTCCGGTCAAGGGCATGTACCTTGGTTGTGGGCACATCCCCAGTAGAGGGTGTGCAAGAGGCAGCTGATCAATTATTCTCTCTCATCTATGTTTCTAACTCTCTATCCCTCTCTCTTCCTCTCTAAAAAATCAATAAAACATATATATTTTAAAAAAAAAAAGATATACAAGATTGACAAACCTTTAACAAGACTCATCAAGGAAAAAATAGAGAAGACTCAAATAAATAAAATCAGAAATGAAAGTAACAACTGACACCACAGAAATACAAACAATTCTAAAAACATACCAACAAATTGGAAATCTGAAAGATATGGATAGATTTCTAGAAACATATAATTTTCCAAAACTAAATCAGGAAGAACCAGGAAATGTGATTAGATCACTATTAGTGAAATTGAAGCTGTGGTTGGGGTGGAGGGTTAAAGGAATTGAGAAAAAAAAAACAAAAAAAAAACTATGGACAGGGATAACAGTGTGGTGATTACAGAAGGGAGGGGGAGGATAAATGGTGATGAAATATAAATGAAAAAATAAAATGTAAAACAAAACAGACTAAAAACACAAGTTAGATATAGCTTTCACCTTAATTATTCATTAAGCTTTTCAATTATTCTGTGTGGCTCTATAATGTAATGTGCTTTATTTTACAATAAAGGTATTTAAAAAAAAATCACCATACAGTTAAAAGACAAACTAGGAAAATCACTCATATTGTGAGCAAATGACCAATTTTCCCCAAGCATAAAAATTAGCTCCTTTGCAACTGCTAAAAATATCAACAACACAGTAGGAAAATGAAATAAAGAGAGTTCCCAGAACAGCAAATATAATTGGCCTTTTAACAAATTACAAAAGGTTCTGTTGTGGGCGACCCGAGAATGACGACTACCAGTCAGCCAAATTGAAATTTAGGAAGCCTTATCACGAATTCGAGTCCGGGCTCACATCTCAACTGACACAGCAGCGAGCAACGAGAGCCTCGACCCAGTCTAAGCATGCTACTTTTATCCCCGTCTTAGGGATGCCTGGCAGATTATGATTGACTAAAAGTTTTAACAAAGAAAGGTCAGTTATAAGTTATAGAAAAATTCCACTAGTACAGTAACATTTAAAGTTTATACAACACCTGTGGTGGAGGTTTATTTTCAGCTTAAGCAGTCTCTGTTTGACCTGGTTTAGTCTGTTTGTTCTGTCTTGCAGCTACTGGAAACAGGATGTGCCTGCCTGGGGGCTGAGCCTTTCAACAGAACTATTTTATAACTAACAGTTATGCTAAAGCGTATATCATGCTACATTCTTTGTTGTGGGTCTGGTTGCTCGTTCCTTCCCTGGCCTGGAGCCCTGCCTCGACAGGGTCTTGCTGGCCATCTGGAGCCCTGACTCAACCTGGTCTTGATGGCCACAACAGTTCAGCCTCACTACTGAAAAGATAGAAGGCAGGTTTTTCAAAACCTAAAAGGTCTCTTCTTATAGTTCATTTGAAAATCTAGGTTAGAGGTTTTTTTTTACTTTTTGGCTTAAAATCTGCCAAGGGCTGCCCATGTATGCAGGTAGTTGTGTTTGCTATCAATGTGAAATTATTCTCCTGATCTGCTAGCCATGTATATTTTTTCCTTTCCATCAAAATCAGTTTTGAGGATCTAGTGAAACTGAAGCATCTATTTCTGCCACTAGCTGTGCACTACTTATCCTGCAGTGATTTATGCATGAGATTGCTCTGTTGCTCCCTAATATAAACTAACCTATCAGCTTTGACCCTCCCCATTTGAGTGTGTCCTAGAACAAAGACAGGAAGTGGTTTCATAGTAGTGACTTTGAACATTACTCAGTTTGCCTCTTTAAACTTTCACATTTAACAAAGTTGGAAACAGCAGACTGAAGAAATTTTAAGTTGTGTTTGTGTGGGGGTTGGTGGGTGGGAATTAGCTGTCTGGGATGGGGTGGTAGTGATAGGGGCCAAGCAAGCTGTGAAGGAAGAAGGCCTGAAATAAAGCAACCATATCGAAGAACAACTGAACTCGGTCTTTTTCTGTGGCCACAGGTTAGGCAGCCCCAAGCCCAAGCTGCTTGAGTTTCTCCTGGAGCCCCCGAAGCTGGCTTTGACCCCAGTTGATTTGGATCTGGAGACTGGCCATATCTACAGCCAGCTGCAGGCCTAGAGGAAGGGGAGAAATTGTCACCAAGTGAGATACATGACTTAAGAGAATCTGGACATTCCCAGGGAATGGAAAGGCGCTAGGCCTCTATTATTCCTAAAACATTCCAGGCACACCCTTGCAATGGCTGCTCCAAACCTCACTGGACCCACACCCTCACTTTCTTCAGTTCTTTGCTAAAATGTCAACCTCCTCAAAATACTTTCTTGAATACCTTCTATCACACAACAGGAACTAATAATCCACAGATCATTACACACTGTCTCATACTCTTATTTTCTTCCTTCTTTTCTCCATTACCACAGTCCCTCACTGCTCTCAACCTCCTTCCATCTGTTTTCTCTGCCTCCAACAGTATTCCAAACCCTGGATCCACCTTTAGGTGGCTTCTGCTTGATGCCTCTGCTGGAATGGCTACAGCCCTCAAATTACTGGCCTAGAGCCCTCTAACCACAGCTCCTGGCTCTCTCTGCTGCACCAACTCTAGTCCACTGGCCTCTTCTCTGCAATGCCCCATGCAATACTACTGCCTTTTCACCCTGGCGGACCCCTCTGCCTAGAACACTGTTCCCCCAGATCACCTTCAAAAAACAGCTCCCCCAGCCCATTCCTGTCCCAATTCATCTACCACACCCTATCTTATTTTTGTATAACAATTCTCACTACTTACTTATTTGCAGGTTGTCTTTCTCCCCTCAATAGTATAATGTTCTATTAGGAATATTTGTCCTTTCATTTCCTGCTATATCCCCAGCACCAATCATGAGCCCAGAACACTGCCAAGATGCTGTAAATGCTTTCAGAAAAAAACAGCAGGCATGCAACAAAAGTAAGCAATGAAGAAAACCTATAAAACCCTTTGTATACTAATCCCAGCTCTGGCATTAGAGGGTCCGATTTTGGCTTAGAGCCACATGGTCAACTGGCAGGGTTCACTCACCCTCCTGGAAGCTGGCTTGGGCCTGCCGTAGACTATGTGGAACCAGGATTCCAAACCAGTTCAGAGGGTTTGGAGAGGCTGAGAAGGGCTCGGGCTCTGGAATCCTAGTAAGGCCCTTGCGCCTTCGCAGAGCTGAAGAAAGAAAGGGTAGAAGTGGGAGTCTTATTACCTGGCCCTTACCTTCTGGGTGACAATGTTGAACTCTGAGCTCATGATCCTGGAAAATAATGATGGCTGCAAAATCTTCCCAACCTTTGAAGAGCCAAAAAACAGCCTACCACAAAAAAGCACCGTTCCCCACTTGTGATTCAAATGTGAGACTGTACATAATTTCTCAAGACTCTCATAAAATCAACCCTTGTTTAGACAAAGTCATACACTGACTGCTTTCAGCTATCCATTGTCTACACCAGTGGTTGGCAAACTGCGGCTTGCGAGCCACATGTGGCTCTTTGACCCCTTAAGTATGGCTCTTCCACAACATACCACATGCAGGCTTACACATACAATGTGATTGAAACATCATGGCCTATGCACAGAAGTCAGTTTTCGGCTCTCAAAAGAAATTTCAATCGTTATACTGTTGATATTTATATAACTAATGAGTTTGCCAACCACTGATCTACACTATCATGAAAGTGCAAACAGGGAACCCAGAAGGCTGATGGACCTTGAGCTTTGGCAAGGGCTAAAAGCTATGCACCAATTGTTCTGTAGAGACAATAGTGGGTTGTTATGCCCAAGTGTCATAAACCCCAAAGACTACCAGGGAGTCGAATCCGAAGCAATTGCAGAAAGCCTGTATTTATTTCAGACTAGTCCGAGCTCAGTCCCACTTACACCAACTAGGGCATGGTGAGAAAGAGGAAGAACTTAACATATCAATGGGTTTTATAGGGAAGGTGGTGCCGCTACCTTGGCTGACCTGATTGGTTGGGTTAGGCCTAGGGTCTGTTTACCGGGAGCTGGACCCACCCCACCCTGCCCTCTCACCCTGCCCTGCCCTCTCACCCCACCTGCTCTCTCGCCCCTCCTGCCCTCTTATCCAGCCCTGCCCCCTCACCCTGCCCTGCCCTCTCAGGGTCAAACAATTTTCTGACCTAACGGTCTCAAAGTATACCTTTACTAATATTTACTGACCTTTAAGATAGTATGTCTGCTACCAGATTGCCTGCCTGCCTAAAAGCAAAATGTGTATTCTAAAATTGAATAAAACCTAACAGGGTCTAGGTCCCAGTGAAGCCTTTAAATTGAATAAAAGCTAACAGGGTCTGGGTCCCAGTGAAGCCTTTCTACTAGAGAAGGGTTCTCTGCCTGGCCCCCCATGATTTCCAAATTCATATTTCTTGTCTAGTCTCTTCATTTGTGCACAGCCCTTCACCAGATCCTGAATCCTAGCCATGCAGGTTGTAGCTTTCACAACTGACCTTTCCCGTTTTGCCTGAACATGCTGAAAGGTCAGAAAGACCCTCCAACACCCTGTTCTTTGTCTCATGAATGACTGACTAGCTGAGATTGAAAGTTTGTCCTTCTGAAAGAGATAGACTGAGACTTCCTGTAACTGTAAAATAATCCCAACTGTAAAAGACTTCATCTATTTCTCCCCTTTAAAAGTCTAAGGCCAAACCTATTCTACTGAGACATTTTGATCTTCTTATTTAGGATGCTCTATCGAAACAACTTGAATAAAATCATCTCAATTGTATTTTGTCTTTGACATCGGGAAGGGTCCCTGACGGGAAGGAGGGCTCACCTGCCTCACAGGGTCCCACCTCCTCTGGAATCTGGGAGCCAGATCTTAACACACGAAACTTCTGGAGTCCATTTTGCGCCTCGCTAAATAAAGAGAAGAGAAGACGGATCTTTGACAGCTCCACTCTGGACATTCCCCACCAACCCGATTCAGCATGCAAGGCTCCTCACTTGGTGCAGACGCAGACTTGGGGCTCCATGCGGGAGGCATATTGCAGGGGCCCTACCGACTTAGCACCCATGGCATAGCGAGCTTTGGAGAGCGAAAGCCAGCCCTGTGGGAAAAGAGAGGATCAGTAAAACTCGGTTTACCTCGAAGTGAACGCCCGCCCGCCCCGCCACCCTCCACCCTCCACCCTCCCACCCCCCAACTCCACCCCCACCCCCCACCCCAGGCTTCCACCTCCTCCACCCGGGCGTTCAGCGCCGCCCGCTTTGACTCCAGCTCTTCCAGGTCCCAGAGCAGCTGCAGGACCAGCGAGTCTAGTTCCGCCCGCAAATCGGCTGCCGCCATGGCCCAAAGCACTCTAATCTGGAGCCAGCCTCCTTCCAGGTCGCCCAATCACCGCTCATCGTGCCGATAGTGTAGCCAATGAACGTTGGAGATCGCCGTCGCTTTGGGCCCCGAGTTCACGTAGTGGAAGCTGCAGTGGAAGCTGTGGGATGGGGTCTCGGCTTCCAAGGGCAAGCGTCTGCAGAGCAGCAGCATTTAGGGACTGAGAAGTCGCTATTTGCACTTAGCATCCGAAGCGGATCAGCCAACCTGAAAGTTGGCGAGAACTGTGGGGTTCCAAGTCGCTTCGGGAAGCGGCTGCATTTTAAAAGTGGCGAAGAAAGGAGGCGTAGCAACCATTTTAAGGGAGAAACGGCTTTAGATTTAATTCCAAAAGGAGCTGTTAAGCGATCTTGCAGCCTACGGTTATGCTGGTTTTACAGCTGCTGCACTATTTCAAGCCGCCAATGGCATGACTAGCGTCACATAATCTTCAATTTAGGCATTCTTCATATCCACGACAAATGGTGAAGCCAAGGGCAGACATCTTTATTAATGGCATCCCCAGGCCGCCTAACAACATCTTAACATTTCCTCTGTCTATTGGTTGCTCCAGTGAGCATGCGCTTGTGGGCTGGCCAATCGCCTTGTGATCCCTATCCACGGTTCGCCATCTTAACTTTGGTCAAACTTGACGGCAGCAGCGTTTAGTGAACCTCTAACCACCTTCTTGGTTGAGGGCGGAAACGAGAGCTGCTTAGTGCCCTCAGCTCTAGCAGATTCTTTGAGACGCACGTGGAAGCCACGCTCAAAATGGTATGGATGTTTGAGCTTCTGTTTTCGAGGTTGGGGGTTTGCAGAGGGCTGGGGATAAGGTCTGTGGGCTCGGGATGGGTGGTCTCCCTGGTGCTAGGAGAAAGAGGGGCTAACCCGATACGCTGTTCCCTAGTTGCGCCGTGAGGCGCGCCTTCGCCGCGAGTACCTCTACCGCAAGGCCCGCGAGGAGGCGCAGCGCGCCGCCTCCGAGAGGAAAGAGAAGGTGCGGCGCGCGCTGGAAGGTATGATCCCCGCTGCTCGGCGGCGTCACCCAGCCTTCAGAGAATCTGCGAGTTTGCATTTTAAAACCCAATGGAAAGACCAACTGACTTAATTAGCATTTCCTTGGTATTACAGTATCTTAAGTATTTACTGGTCACTTTTTTTGTCTGCGGGGTCTTTCTGTTGCTTGCATCCTTCGTGTGATGGTATGAAATACTTGTCATTTATGCTACAGTATTGAGATTTTACAGTTTGCCTATTAATTTTGCTTACAGTGTGTTTAGTTCTTCTCAAATTTAAAATTAACCCTATGGTCCTTGTAGAAGTTTCCCACCTCCACTCGCCGTACTAAAGCATATATTGCTATCTTTTAGTGGTATTATGAGTCCCTTGCATTTTTAAGCTGTTAATCCGTATATAATTTTATTTTATTTGCGTTGTAAATTAGGGCCTAATTTTGTATTGTTTCCCCCACTTTACATTTGCCATACCAAACTAATGAAGAGTACTCAGTTGTGTTAGTTCTTGTGTTTGTGAAGCTTTGTTTCTTATTTGAAGGTACATCAGCTCAGTATCTGATTATTTTAAATTCACTTTGATGTTCCTAGCTGTTAGATATAATGTGTGTGTATGTTTATGTTAAGCATATTAAACAACTGTGAACTATCCACCCATCTTAAGAAATGCAAAATGGTCAGTATACATGGGTTGGCAAAAGTAGGTTTACATTTGTTTGTATGGGAAGACATTCGGGTTATTACAATAGCTTTATTAACTCAAAAAATGTCATGATGCAACTATAAACCTACTTTTGTCCACCGCTGTATTGAAATTCAGGAATATTTTCCACAACTTAGGTAACCACCGTATTGAATATTGTTTAAAAGTAAACTGTTTCCACCGAAACCGGTTTGGCTCGGTGGATAGAGCATCGGCCTGCAGACTGAAAGGTCCGATTCTGGTCAAGGGCATGTAAAAGTAAACTGTTTCCTTGTTTGTGTATGTGCTTATATGGTACTTGTTTGTATCTGTAAATCAATATTGGTTGATTTTTAGTTTTAAAGGTAATATGTATTCTTTGGCAGTTTTATGTTTTCAACATTGTTTCTAAAATACGTTGAGTATAGTATAGTAGAGATTTTCTTCATTGAGTATCTTCCATGTGCAAGAATTCCACCAGGGCCCACTAAGAAGTGCTGATTCCAGGGGCACAGTCATGATCAGCTCTATGCTTCCAAGGTGGATGTTCCCACAGCTCAGTCCCTATGCCAGGTCAAGCTTTAGTTCACAGAGGGAACTTCTGATATAGAGCATCTTGATTAGCAGCTTTGTTATCAGGGTTTCAGGATTTCAGGTCCACCTTTATATGGAAAGAGTAGTCTAAAAACCTTCAAGCCATGAGACTCAGGGACTGTAGGAAAAAACTGTTTCCTATAACTAGCAGGTAGACAAATAGTCTCCACCCTCTCACCCCCCAGTATCATCTCTGCTCAAAAAGGAGTAAGAAAGGTATTTTTCCCATCAGGTTTATAAGTCACAGTGTTGTATTAACTGAGACCTTCATATGCATATCTCACTGATCCCTCTGTCTTTCCCCTGCAGAGAACCACCTGATCCCTACGGAGTTACGTAGGGAGGCTTTGGCCTTACACGGTTCCCTGGAGTTTGACGACGCTGGTGGTGAAGGTGACCTTCCCCAACACTCTGGGCCAACTCCTCTTCATGCACTGGGGCCCACTGGCCTCCATATCTTTCCTCAGACATCTTAAGGAAAGGTTCTGCGACTCCTATTCCTGGAACTGTGCCCCTGAGTCCTCATGTTTCTGCACTGATGGCAACTCAGAGGATCTCATCCTGAGTGCTCCCAATTCCATTTAGAGACACATGTGATACCACCCAATTTACTCTATGCTTTGCTTTGATCCCCGTCACTAGAATGTTAATTCTGCTGGGACAGGACAGTGTCTATTATGTTCACTGCCATTTCCCGAGCTCTCAGCACTTCATTGGCACACAGATGTTTTACTCATTGTGTTATTCAACATATATGAAAGGAATCACAAATGTTGTACATATTTGTTAGGAGAAATAGGAGCCTGTTATCTTTGACTTCATTAGAATCTGTACTTAAGCTAACACAATAGCCACTAGCTCTGTGTGATTAATACAAATTAGATGAGTAAAATTAAAATCAAATTAGAAAATACAGTTCTGCATTAAACTTGTGCTTATAGTCATTAAACTTGGTGCCACCCTATTGCCCAGTGTGGGTGTGGAGCATCCTATCACTGAAGATATTGTCAGATGGTGCAGCTCTGAATGAATTTGCCCACTCCCCAATATAATCTCATGTTCTTGCCCCTCCTGCATCTGACAGGTGTGACCAATCATGTGGATGATGAATATCGATGGGCAGGGGTTGAGGATCCCAAGGTCATGATCACTACTTCCCGAGATCCTAGTTCACGCCTCAAGATGTTTGCAAAGGTATCAAAAGAAGCAGGGAATGGAAGATGCTCAGGTACCTGTGGCCTGAGTCCTAACTAGTGTATGTGCTCGTGCAGGAGCTGAAGTTGGTGTTTCCTGGTGCCCAGCGCATGAACCGTGGCCGACATGAGGTGGGGGCACTGGTGCGAGCCTGCAAAGTTAATGGTGTCACTGACCTGCTAGTTATCCATGAGCATCGAGGCACACCTGGTAAGGCTGGTGGGAGTGAGCAGGGTGTTTGCCGGGTTGGCCATCTAAGAGCAGACAGTCCCTGACAGCCTATCTGGCCCCATCAGTGGGGTTGATTGTCAGCCACCTGCCCTTTGGCCCTACTGCTTACTTCACACTATGCAATGTGCTTATGCGGCATGACATCCCCGACCTGGGCACTGTGTCAGAGGCTAAACCTCACCTCATCATTCATGGCTTCTCCTCCCGTCTGGGCAAGCGGGTGAGTCTGGGGTCATGGGACTAGGGCTGGGGGCAGGCGGTGCCAGGTTGGGCATTCCCCAATCTTCTGCCCTCTGACCCAGGTCTCTGACGTACTTCGTTACCTGTTCCCTGTGCCCAAAGAAGATAGTCATCGGGTCATCACCTTTGCAAACCAGAATGACTACATCTCCTTCCGGTGTGTCCATGGGCTGAACTCTGGGATTATATCCTGACCTTTGTGTCCCTGTACTATTGGTGGTTGACCTATAGCTGCTCCTACCTCCTCTCACTCCTGCCCTGCCTCCCTTTGCCCCAGACACCATGTGTACAGGAAGACCAACCACCGCAATGTGGAGCTGACTGAGGTTGGCCCTCGCTTTGAGCTCAAGTGTGAGTTTGGACTTTATCTCAGGTCTGGTGGTGGGGAATGCTGGCTATATAATTGATAATGTCTCTGTTCCCTTCCACCAGTGTACATGATTCGCCTTGGCACGCTGGAACAGGAGGCCACAGCAGATGTGGAGTGGCGTTGGCATCCTTACACCAACACTGCACACAAGAGGGTCTTTCTAAGTGCTGCGTGATCCCATTCTGTTGTCAGGATAGGCTTGGACCCAGGAGGTGGGAGCAGTCAGAATAAAGTCTGTGCACCACACCACCCTATTTGCCTCTGTTTGGTTTGGACAGACACGATATCAGGGTAAGTGTGAAGGATGATGTCCATAGGGTCTTCTTAGCTGGGGACTTGACAGCTTGGGGATATTCTCAGGCCTGGTGTTGACATTGTGTCTAGGACAAAGCAGATTCAGCATGTTGGCTTCTTGAGTCATTAGGATGATTTGGCATTGCCTCTGGGAAAGTTGGGGCTGCTGTTACTCAGGAGCTCATCATCTGGGAGGAAGGTGGGCATGGGTAGCAGGGCCTGACACATTTGCTCCAAGCAAGCATGAGATTCAGGGAGCTGACAGGATGGGACCTAGTCAATGCTTCCCAGGATTCCTCTGCCTGCGTCAGCACGCAGGTATACTTTTCCATTTCACTTGGGACACAGTGATACTTTAGAGACTACCAACCTTGCAAACCTGCTCTCTTGTTAGGGAAGGGTTTATGTGA